CTCTCTTTAGTCTTTGATAAGACTTTTATTTTCATAAACCATCAAGTGATTAGTTCCTCTTTCCTGGATCTGTAGTTCCCTGCCCCTTGCCCAGCTAAGATTTTCTACCTTTTTTTGTTGTTGTTGCTCAGAGGCAAAGGGGTACAATTAAGCTACTGATGTAGCCCAAGTACATTTAGTTATTTCAGAGTCTCCGGGTGGCCTCAGAGGCAGGCAGGAAACAGACTGCAGGCCTGCACACACCCTCTCAGTTCCCTTGTTCTCTCTGGCTCTCGCCAGTGTGCACTCTGCTTCCATGTAAAGGCTCTTGGGGAAGATGCCAATAATCTCTGCTTTATGTCCTAGCCAGCAACCACATGCTCCTATGTTGACTTGAAGGAAACAAAAGTCTAAAGTAGAGTGTATTTAACTGGAATGTACCTTAGAAAAATTCCAAAGCATGAGAAATCCTCAAGCAGCCTTGCATATAAAGCAGAAACTTTCCTAAGTCAGCAGCATTTCTTAAAACTCAGAGTCCACCCACACCACAGGCTACACAAGAAACGGGAATCTGCAAAAATCATTACTTTCCCTGCAAACATTGCCAAGCACCTGCAAGACTGAAAAAAGGAATGACATCCAGTTCTCTCTGAGGAAGTGCAGGCCTTTCCAGCACACCTAGTGAGATGAAAACCACATGGTGAAGGAGTAGAAAAAGTCCGGACCATTAAAAATGTATTTTCCAAACAATCAATGCCCAAAAGTTTAAAACTTCTCTTTAGAGTCAAGAAATACTTCAACACTGTGACAGAGATTATCAATAATTTCCTTTAAGCAAAACAAATTCTTAAACATTAACTAAGCCCATGGATTACTCGTGTATAAAATGCTAGCAAGCACACTGATCTGGAAATTCAGTCCTCTGCCCTATTGACTGGGAGCTTGTCTCTTAACTTCTCGTCACCATCAGTGTCCTGATCTAGGATCGACAGAGATGGGCTGCCCCAGGCCAGCGAGCACCACATCCTTCCCCAATCCTGCCTGCCCATCACAACTTTAAGGCCTCTCTCTGATTCTCCCCTGCCAAGCTTAGCTCTTCTGCCGTCTCTCAATCATTGGCCCCTTATTTATATTGCGTAAATACTATCTCAGTGAACTCCAACTAATCATTTATGTCCTTTTGCTTTATTTTAATTTTGCTATACCAGATATTGTATTAGCTCAGACAGTGGGCCACTGGTTGATGCTTGGAATTTTGTTCATTGCAATGGTATTTATCATGATGTTTCATATGTAATTCCAATCTAAGAAAACAATAACTATTTATTCCCTGCTTTATTTCAGAAAAAAATTTAAGACTGCTCATACAAATACATGTAATAAAATAACACTTATATTATAGAGACAGGAAATGGGACAAAGGAGAAATTACAGTAGGAAAGTTTAGATGAAATTAGGAGAGAGGCTTGATTTACAGCTCAGCCTATCAGGCCTACGCACATGCGAGATCAGACTCTGAGCTTTCTAAGCTTCCTAGCAGTCAAAGGACAGAGAGACTCGCTTACATCGGTAGCTGGAATAGTAGAGCCTGCTGGTCACATCTGTCCCACCACTTATTCTGCAAATAAAGTTTTATTGGAATGCAGCCACACCTCATCACTTACATGTTATTTATGGCTGCATTCGTGGTACAATAGCAGAGCTGAGTGGTTGTAACAGAGACTTGCAAAGCCTAAAATAGTTACTAACTGGCTTTTTACAGAAACAAAGTTTGCAGATGCCTGCAGATGATTCTGTGCCTATGAGACAAAGGCACAGCAATTTTCAAGGGTAAGCACATTCTTTGTATGGTTCCGAAAGGAAAGAGAACTTCCTACTGTAAAGAGTTTACTATGTAATCTGATGGAAAAAAAAATACAAACAAACAGCCTTAGCTTCATTTTTACAGTAAATATAGCAACAACTTTCACAGAGCCAATGGCATGATATCACAACACAAGTCAGTAAAACGATTCTATGTGAGGCTGAAACGATGTAGTTCAGGGGGAGTGCTCTTCTGGTCTGGCTTAGTTCAGGGAGGATCTGTGCAGAGGTGAATGTCAGGTCAAGGCAGCCCTTCCCACCCATCTTCCTTCTCCCAGGCATACGTGGCTAATGGATCAAGGTGTTCTCTCCAGCTCCCTGAGCTCCCTGGGCTCGCTAGCAATCTCAATCTATCATGAGCAGTTGGCATGCAAAATAAAACTGATATGTCATCTGTGCTTGATTTTCTCTCCAAGTCTGATACATACTCATGTGGTAGGCTGAGGTTACACTCTCTGCAAAGTTTCTGAAGCGCAGCTATTCTAGTTTGTCAACATGCACAGCTGTCCCCTTCAATGGCCATCCTCAAGGAAGGCCTAGATTCCTGGGAGAACCAGAAGCCTCACAAACCTACACAGATGCAGCTCAAATGAGTGTCTGAGAGCAGGGCCTGGAGTCTCCTCAAAAAAAGGGTGGGGAGCCTGGCCGGTGTGGCTCAGTGGTTGAGTGTCAACCCAGGAACCAAAAGGTCATGGTTCGATTCCTGGTCAGGGCACATGCCCGGGTTGCAGGTTGGATCCCCAGTAGGGGGCACGCAGGAGACAGCCAATTGATGATGTTTCTCTTTCATGGACATTGTTATCTCTCCATCCCTCTCCCTTCCCTTCTCTCTAAAAAAAAATCAATAAGAACATTTTTTTTTTAAAAAAGGTGAGGAAGCTGCTCCTCTGCACAGACCAATGGGTGGGCAGGGCCAGAGAACAGCACAGGAATTTTACCGGGAAACTTTTAAGCCCAATACTCACGCTGTTCAAAGAAATAAAACCTCCAAACAGCCATGACTGTGACCCACTGACCTGGAACACATATATTCCTAAAGAACTCCCTAAGAAGCAAGGGCTCCAAAATAAATGCAAATAGACTGGAAACAGTTCAGTGTTGGGAGATGACAAAACTGCTGACTGTGGATTCAGAGAATATACCTGTAGCCTTTCTCTATGCCCATTTCTTCTCTGTGACTCTAACACTATGTTACAGATTATATTTCTATCCTATATAATAAAAGCCTAATATGCTAAGTGTCCAGTCATCTGTTCAACCAATCAAAGCATAATATGGTAATGATATGCTAAGGCCACTCAACCGCTTGCTATGATGTGCACTGACCACCAGGGGACAGACAGTCGACAGGTCGACCAGTTACTATAATGTGCACTGACCACTAGGGGGCAGACACTCCAACTGGTAGGTTAGCTTGCTGCTGGGGTCTGGCCTATCGGGGCTGAATGAGATGGGCTGGAAACGCTCTGGAGCCCTCCCGTAGTTCCTCCCCCCACTGGCCAACCTCCCATGTCCCTCCCCGGCCCAGATTATGCACTGGTGGGGTCCCTTGGCCTGGCCTGCACCCTCTTGCAATCCGGGACCCCTCGGGGGATACTAGAGAGCCGGTTTCAGCCCGATCCTGCAGGCCAGTTTTGGCCTGATCCCATGCTGTATAATAAAAGGCGAATATGCAAATCGACTGAACGGTGGAACTACTGGTCGCTATGATGTGCACTGATCACCAGGGGGCAGACGCTCAAGGCAGGAGCTGACACGCACTGACTATCTGCAGCAGCACTAGGGATGTCTGAATGATGGCTTAGGCCTGCTCCCCAGCCGGGGGGCGGGGGGGCGGGCAGGGGGTAGGCCTAAGCCATCACTTGGACATTCCCCAAGGGCTCTTGGACTGCGAGAGGGTGCAGGCCGGGCTGAGGGGACGCCCCCCCCCGCCCAGTGCACGAATTTCGTGCACCGGGCCTCTAGTTCTAAATAATAGAGGGACAAAACTTCAAGTAACTTGAAAGTGTTATCTAGTTTTGTGGGTTCTTTAAAATATATATTTTATGATTTTTTTACAGAGAGGAAGGGAGAGGGATAGAGAGTTAGAAACATCGATGAGAGAGAAACACCGACAACCAAGGTACGTGCCCTTGACCGGAATCGAACCTGAGACCCTTCAGTCCGCAGGCCGATGCTCTATCCACTGAGCCAAACCGGTTAGGGTGTGTTATCTAGTTTTAATAAGCGCACTTAAGAGAAGCAGGACTATTCTTATTTGACCTCACTGGAAAATGCTACTTAATCTATAACTGACTCCTACCCATGTTGTTAAAGAAAAGAAAAAGACAAAACATATTATAAATAATTTTACATTATTCCTAACAGTTCTTTTCACCAGGTGATTAGAAAGCATAAAAACTAGAAAATAAGTAAAAACATTCATGCCTAAAACCTCCCTCCTTCATAGGGGTTTGTGGCTGTATTCTAGAAAACACCAACTTCAAAGAAGTAAAACATAACCAGATTGGATGGGAGAGTTAATATGTCCAACAAACATGAGGAATTAATGCAGAAAAATTTTTCTTCACCCTAAAAAGAGCAAATACTAACAAATACTGCCATTTACTCTTCTAGTACCAATGCACGGGATTTGAGTCCAGACCACTTAAAGCCATATCCAGGCACATGAGAATGTGGATAATTCGGACTCTGCACAGCCTTACAGGAAAAAAAAAGTAAGAAAAATTATTTTAAAAAAAAGAGAGAGAGAAATGGGGAGAGAGACATTAATTTGTTGTTCCACTTATTTATGCATTTATTGGTTGCTTCCTGTATGTGCCCTGATGGTGTATTGGGACGATGCTCTAACCCAAGCTATCCAGCCAGGGCTGGAAGAAAAACTCTTACAGAGGCAATGAGAACACTGAGCCCAGAACAGAGGGTAGCAGTGGTGGTTATGTTTTTCTGGAACCAAGCACAGGGATGCCTAATGATGTGCTGTACTTGAAAGTGCACAGAACATTTACACAGAAAATTCTGGAAGAAAGCAAAAGCCCCTCCACACCAGCTGTGGGCTGATACCTGCTTCTCCAAGCAGTTACATAGCCCTCGTGTCCTTTGATGTGTCCTGAGCCCACGCCAGAGACCAGGATAGACTGGGTGTTGGATGACATTACCTGGGAAAGCGTCTTCACAGCAACTGAGGCCATTCAAGTTTGCACTTCCAAAAGACTGCCATCCCAAACCACCAGCACAGAGCCCCTTCCCAGAACCACGTAGGCGCCATAAACACTTCCACCAATTTCTTCAAGACGGGTTGGGAAGACTCCTACTTACGTAATGCATACAAGGTGAGGATTATTCCAGCCAGGCAGAATCCTTCGAAGAACCTGAGTGTGCTGAACATCGTCACATTCACGGACAGGGCCACGGTCAGGCCAAAGATCAGAATGAAGATGATGGAACAGAGCAGCACAGGCCGCCGGCCGACCCTGTGCACAGAGAGGAAACGTTAGGAGTCATCATTACACAGGACCGTGGTGCCAGCCTTGAAAACCCAGCATCCAGTAGGTGCTCAATAGATGCTGAATGAGTACTGGACTAAAAGTCTTCCCACTGTCCAGACCTACTGTGGCATATCTAGGGATAGAGAGGCCCTTGGGGGAAATGTAGCTCGACCGCCTCATTGTGCAGAAAAAGGGGCCTAGATTAAACAGCTACTGCATAATAGAACTGAAACAGGAACCCAATTCCTGTTGGCAAGTCTATTTTTGAGTATATAGGAGGATAATTCAAGGCAAGAGTAACAAAATCAATAACAACTCCCCAAATGTAAACCTTGACACACCCATCATAAAATGTCCTGAGAAATCACTGACCTTTGGAACTGGCACCAAAGTCAACAGAGACACTGAGTGAAGTGGCTTCATCTCCTTAGTCAGGGCTGGTAACTAGTCAGGCGCCTGACCTTATACAGCCTACCAGAGCTGGGGCCAAGCCAGCTGCCGGTGTGTTTCAACTGTATGATGAGAAGTCATTTTTAAACTAAACTTAGACTAAACTAAGATAGTTCGAACTTTAAATAATGGGTGTGAACCTGAAAGTGAAGGTCCTTCCACCAGGCAGCAAGGGGTGGAAGGAGCCCAAGCCACTGTGTTTCAGAAAAAAACTAGACTGGAAGATTATAGAGCCGGGCAAGATCAGCTACTACTAGGGTGTGATGTGCTCCTAAGGAGTGGCTGAGAGGTCCACAGGGGGGTTAGGGGGTCTATGGGAACGGAAGGTAACTAGTTCTTCACCCCTCTCTTCCTAGCCTTCCAGGTTTTCCTTCATCAATTTACTAGGGAGAAAAAAAAATCATACAAATTAATATAACCCAACCAAGCTTGAACTAGAAGAAAAGCTCACAAAGAAACTGGAGAGAAATTCTATTTGTCAAAGGAAGAAAACCAAGCCTGGCAGCCCAAACACCTGAAGAGTAACTAATGCCTTGAATTAGCCTATACGTGCTTATAACAAGGCATCTACAGAAAAGCAGAATGCCCAGAAAAGGCAAATAGAAACAGAGTAGATTCGTGGTTGCCTGGGGCTGGGGGTGAGAATGAGGAATGAATGTAGATGGTCACGACACTCCCTTTTAAGGTGGTGGAAATGTTTTAGTGTGGTGATGACTGTAAGATTCTGTAAATACACGAAAACTCACTGGATTGTGCACTTAAAATGGGTGAGCTTTATGATATGTAAAATGTAGATTTTCTCTCAATAAAGCTGTTAAAGCAACAGCAATGCTCAGTAACACATGGCTTTGCTCTATGAAGGAGATGAATATAATTTCCAGAAAACTTGGGGGGGAGGGGTGCTATAGGACACAATTTCATTCAGAATTTTTTAGGCTTCTAACATTCCCCGTAGTAACTTCAGTTTAGTGAAATGAGGCCGAGCTATGAGATCAATTACAATGTTCTGATACTTTAGAAGAGATCCTCGATCTTTTTTTCACTTGTATAAACTATTTAAATCTCTCCCTTTGAAATGATTGCTAAAGTCAGTGAATAAAATTACTATTAGGAACTGTGGGGCAAATATGATCTTCAAAGTCAGAGCCCTTGGTCTTTTATCCAGGCCCACCACTTATACACTACATACATGGTCATGAGAAAGACCACCCTTGTCCGAACTAGCCTCCTGTTTCCTTAGGAACAGCTGGTCAGTGCCAACCTAATGGGCTTGTTGTCAGGGATAAGTAAGTGCAAGTGATCCAGCAAATGGTCAACAAGTGTAAGTCAGAACCCCTGGAGTTTTAGTGTGGACTGGCTTCCCCCAGCAGAACCCCATGAGGGATGAGGGGTAAAACCACAGCCCTAGATCTGTAATGCAGAGACACAGAGGGCTTTATCAACGAGGCTCCGTGGTGAGCAGAATAATGGCCCCCCAGGATGTCCACACCCTAAACACTGGAGCCTGGGAATATGTTACCTTTCCTGGCAAAGGAGCTCTGCCAGGGCTGAGCCAGGAGCTAGAGGGCAAGGGGTAAGGGCTCCTGGGGTGAGAAATGCGCATGTCTAGCAAAAGAACCAGCTGTGGGGGGAGGGGTGTCATCTGGCCGCGCCACGGTCAGGAATGTCCCCTCGAACATCTAAACTAGCACATCCTAAAACATGTGATGTGTGTCCCCAAATAAAACATGTGGGGAGAACGGTAACTTCTTAAAGGACAAAGTGTACCACTTGACATTTTATGTGCTGACTACAGTCTTAGAGAGCTCACCCCGGCTCGGACAACTTCCTCACATGCCGTGACTGGGCCAGCAGCTGTGAATCTGTAGTTCCCTCTAAACGTGTCCGTTTCCTTTTCAGCAAGGCTCGCAGGGAGCACAGAGCCATAGATAAAAGCTAAGGGTGGAAAACACCAAACTTTCCAAGTGCAACCGAGGCCCACTCAAATGCTCAAAGAGCCACAGCACAGAGCACTCCCTGTCTCTCCATCACCCACGGCACCCCACCCACCTCCGGGCCTCAACAAAGGGACTGCAGAGAAGTGAGTCTACAAGATCCACTGGTTTTTACTCCTGAAGGAGGACCCAAACTCTTCTGCTTTTTGTCCCAGTCCTAGTGTGTGATCAGGGAGGCCAAACAGCCTGTGCTCGTAAGAAGTAAGAATTCACAAAACCACCCCTAAGTAATTTAAACCCCGTTACAGACTGATATTAATACAGGCCCATATCTGCTTTACCTATAAATTCACTGAACAAGGAAACTAGAACCCAAGTCCAGTCTGTGTTTCTTTAGAAACAAGTGATGTGAATTATATTAGTGTATCTTCCTAACCTATTTTAATGCCGATTTGGGAAATAAAAGTCCTTGTGGTTAAAACACTGGAGTATCTTTTAGATCCATCCAGTTTACTCTGAACACCTTTAAGCTCAAGATTTGGTTAGAAAAAAGCCCCTGTGCTTGCCCCACCCTGCCAGCCCCCAAGGGCCTTGCACAGCTTTCCAGACGCCTCTTCTTCACTCACAGCTTCTCTGTTACTGTCCCCAGGGAATGTGTCCTTAAGAAACATTTACAAATCATGATTAAGCAAATTCTGAACACACAGGAAATCACACATGTTAATGCCAGGAACTCTCAAATAGATGCTAGCTTTTAGAAAGAAATGCCCAGAACTTGAAAGTGGTATCAAAACTCCTCGGGATTCCATGCACTGCTCTGTGCCCCGGCTCCTGCTGAGCCAGCTTTCTCAGCTAACCCCGCCCAAAGGGCTCCAGGGGGAGGCACAGGCATAAGGAGTTTGCTCTATATCGTTCTTATGTTACTGGGTCCAAGATGACCTTATTCACACACACACACAAAAGTTCCTTGATAGATAAAGGAACGGTGAGGGTAACAGCTAGCCCATGCCTCTCTCCCTGAGCAGTCCCATTACTTGAAACCCTGTCAACACTGGGCAGCTGCCTCCCCACACAGACATGTCACTGCTGCCGCTGCCCTTGTGACCGCGGGAGGCCTGAGATACAGTGGCAGCACCCTTGAGAAGAGGCAGGCTCTGAGCCCTGGGACTTAGCCCCACATCCTGCCTCTCCAACTTGAAAGCTGAGTGCACTGGGGATTTTACTTAAACGTCTGTGCTTCTGTTTTCCCACTCTAAGACAGAGGTGATAACAGTACCTTCCGAACAGGGTGCTGTGAAGATGGAATATTTTCACGTGTGGAAATACTTAGCACCGTGCCCGGCAACAGTCATCAGTCAGTACCTCTCAGTTGCCAACACTGTTGCTATTATTATTATCATTCCCGTCTCTAATACCACCTCCCCCGCCCTCCTCACCAACCTCATCACTTCATTCTGCACCATGCACTCTGCTCCACCCCTTAGACCTCCTCACCCACGCAGGTAAAGCATATTCATTCTCACCTGGTCACTGCCCCGCCTCTGCCTGCGATGCCCATCTGTTATCCAAATGCTGCCGCTTCTCCAGGCCCAGCTCCCCATGGACCCCACAGAGGCATCTGCTGGCCAAGCCAACTTCAGGAGCTGTCCCTCTCTAAAACCTGTGGGACATTTTGAGGTGCGACCTGTTAAGTTCACTAGGTCCTCCTCTCCCCATTTTTTGATGTGTCTTATACATCCAAGCCATCGGGGCTCAACCCAGAAAGCCCTGAGCCGAACTCCTCCATCTCTTCCTATCTAAACACTGACTGTCAGTAGGAGAGAGGGCTGCAGGCTGCTGGCTGGTTTTGCTAGATTCTTGCAGCTAAAGAATTTAAATTCTTTAATTTAAATTAAAGTGAATTTAAATTCTCACTTCACAAGGGTCTGTTATGGGCACTGGCCAATTCTTTTCATTCTGAATTCTCCAGGGGATGGCTTCAGCTCCTATTCCGGCACTAACACCGGGGCAGAGAAAAGACAGTACCAGCATCTAACACTGACCACTCCTCTTTAGCCTGCAAAGACTTGCAGTGGCTTCCCAAGGTTTACGTGTGGGCACGTTGGTACTCACCAGTCAGCAATGCATCCAGTTATTAGGTAGCCAAAGATTAATCCAACCAGTAAGGAGAACTTAGCGATATGGACCTTCCAGGCATTATCACACACAAGATCCCACTAGAGAGGGGCAAATAAAAAACAGATCAGAGAGAAGCACACACAGATGCCAGTGCTAGTCAATCACAAGGGCAACACAGAACTGTGGTGACGGCTGTGACGCCACTTATAGCACCACGTCACGTATACCATTAGGAGGCTCCTCAGTGTTTTTGAAAATCCAACAACGAGAAATATAATTTGCCCACAGCAGGCAGTGTAACGTTTCAGTCTGAGGCAGGTTATGAAGGTCTGCAGGAAGTACCCCCGTGAAACCTGGGGATGTGCGTTCCTGCTGTTCCAGGCACCTGGGGCAGGTCACTCGAAGGCAGGGAGCAGCCGAGGAGGCCGCGTTCCTGGCCACCAGCACCTGTGAGTGTCACAGGGCCCAGCAGGCAGAAGGCTCTGCCAACTTTTTACACCAGGCATCATAATGACAGGAGGAAATTAAAAGCAATTTTTGTGTTTTCATCCCCCCAAACTTCACAAATTTCGTAAGTAGTCAAAAATAAAGAGGGTTAATAGCAGGTGTTGGAATATCAACTTTAAGCATTCCTATTATTTTGCTTGTAAACATCCCGTGTTTTCCCATATTCCACTCTAAAGCTATCTGCTTCACCTGGAGGGAAATCTGATCAATCAGTAAGTGCAACATTTAGACTATTTTTGAAACTATGTGTTATTACTTAATAAACAAACAAAATAATCCTCCCATTTTTCTTTTCTCCTTTCGCAGACACAGGAGAGAAGCCCAAGTTTATTCCCTGGAAGTGGCGCGTGTCCCAGGGGAGCACCTGTGAGAACACAGCCCTGGATCCACAGCCATCTGCGTGGGGCTCAAGGGGCAAATGGGGAGTCTCTGCTGGTGGCACCACCATGTCACCCCGCAGTGGCACTGACGCCCTCCGTCTTGTGGAAAGAAGTGGCTAAAGCTTCCAGCCCTGGGAAGCATTAGTCACCCAGGTCAGTGGAGAGGGGGAGTGAAGCAGGCTGGAGAGGTGCAGGATGGGTAAGGCAGTGGGGACTGTCAGAACAGAGGGAGTTCTGGAAGCAAAACCAGGATTCGTGGGGGTGGTATGGGCCATGTGGAAGGCTGGGCTGAGGTCTGATCTTAGCTCTGCCTTCTTCAATATCTCCCCCTTGTCTATCTGTCTTGAGACCCAGAGTATAATGTAGGGAGTTCTTAAAGGGCATGGTAAGCTCAGGTCAATTTCTGTAAAACCTGATGGAGCCCCCAGGAGTCCTCAGCTGTGGGTCTTGGCTTCAAGCGGCTTCGGGAAAAGCTGAACTTCGGCATCAGACTCTGCGGAGGAAGGCACCTGGCCCAGACAGAGCAGGAAGGCGGGCGCCTGTCACGGTGTACCTGAACTCTTTGGGACACACACTTGCTCACTGATGTCCCCAAGGTACGGCTGACCCTCCAGAGAACTTGGGAGAGTGACTAACTCCTCTACCCATCGGCTTCCAGAGCGATGGTCAACACCAGGCTCAGGAAGAAAGGGAATGGCAGGCCCAGACTGACAGACGGACCAAGAGCCTCACGAGTGGATAACTGGGGAGTGGGGCACCGCTGGGCACGCAGAATCTCGTCATTAGGAATTCAAATACAGGACTTCTTTAGGTGGGGGGCCCAGACTGACAGACGGACCAAGAGCCTCGTTGATAGTGGATAAATGGGGAGTGGGGCACCGCTGGGCACGCAGAATCTTGTCATTAGGAATTCAAATACAGGACTTCTTTAGGTGGGTAACTTCCTCCCACATCTCTCCCAGTGGTCCTCAAAGGTGGTGAGACCAGCAGCATGAGCACCACCTGGGAATGCGACAGAGATGCGAATTCTTGAGCCCCACCCCGGACCCCCCTGAGTGAGAACTTTCAGAGTGAAGTAAGTGGTAGCCCTCCAGGTGATTCTGCCGCCTGCTCAGGTCTGATCACCAGCGGCCCTGCCCTGCCATTTCCTGCTACTCTGAAGCCAAAGACTGAGCTTTGCAGGCCTGGCTGGGTTCAGGAGCAGCATGCAGCCGGACCCTGGGTGAATCTGCACAGTGCACTGGTTATTGTTTTGTGCTGCAAATGCAGAATTGTGAAAATAGACTATGAGTTAAGTGGGCTTTTGATGGAAAATCTGTAGAACCAACATTCATGTGTATATTATTTCTAGGAGAAAACAGATTTTTAATAATCAACACCTTCAGGAATGCAGGCTCTGCCTACACTGTGGGTTGTAGCATCCTAACTACCAGTGTGTGTAGAGTCTGCTTCCCAGTTGGGTTTAGACACTGAGGCCATCTGAATTGGTTTCTCTCCTCGCTGCCCAGCCCAGGAACCTGCCCACTAAGTCTTCCACTTCCAGAGTAAGAGCTACACCTATCAGCACAGCTGGCTAACCTGGGAGGGGAGGTGCTACAACACCTGTAATCATAATCTCCCAATCACACCACACCTGCCTGTGCCTCAGCCTGGCACATTCTTGGCAGAAGAGGGGCACACCTGGTCCCAGATGGCTGCTGAGGAGGGAGGGCACCAGCTGCTGGCTCTGTGGCGGAGAGTCACGGGCTCAGGTCTCCACCCAGCAGATGAGTTTACTTGAGGTTAAGGGATAGATACATCATGCTTATATTAGATGCCAGGAAGCCAGAGATTTTATAATAGCATCCAGAGAGGTGGGGGAAATGGCCAACACTGCAGTGAATGCAGCCACCTGAATAATAACTCTACCTGATTGGCCATGGGCAGCCAAGACCCAATTTAGGTGCTACCAAATCAGAGGTTCACCGGCCTCCTCAATGCACCTTAATCAATGGACAACACTGAAGTGGGAAATGAAAACGCTGAGACAGACAGGCCCTTACACAGCTGCTAGGGAAAGCCGTGCTAGAGGAGTTCTCAGGCACCTGCTCTAGGTCTGGGGGAGGGGCCTGTAATCCAGGACCAGGCATGTAATAGGTGCATTAACCCCTCAGTCAGGCACAGAAGTAGGCGGCATATCTGAGTCAACAAGCAAACTCACTGCAGGCCCAGCAGGTTCCCCAAGGTGAGGTTCCTCATGCCTGGGGCTCTGCCCATCACAACACCCTTAAAGGCTGCAGGGCCACCCCAGGCACATTCCACAGCCTGGAAGGAGGGCTGGTGGCACCTTTGAGACAACATCTCCTGTTTGATTTCTACTTCTGTACTTACAAAAATGTACGGAGAAAAGAAAATATACTTAAACATATTATCTTCAAAGGAATCTCAGAAGTATGAGGAAGCTTTGAGATGACCTTGCTCTCGAAATTTGTTTGCTCCACTATGGCAATTGATCATTTCACTAAGCAAAGACTAAGGGATGTTAAAACATCTAAAACACGCAAAACCAGGACTCAATGCAACCAGTTTGGTCTCTGACATTACCCGTCTCCTCTCTCTTCTCATCCCTTACCCTCCCCCCCAACTCTCAGTCACCACTTGCAGAGACTCTCCCTTTCACACACTCCTGCACCAGGACAGCCTGCTTCAAGGGAAAGGTAGGGGGATTCACTCACCTTTCTCCAGGTGTGGGACTGGGAGGCTAAAAAAAAACAAAAAAAAAACCACTTCCAGACTCTCTTACAGCTAAGGTTTTAAATATGGTGTAGGTTCTGCCAATCAGCTGCATGACCCAAAATAACTTTCAGTGCACAACCTAGTTCTAATTTTTGGGATGACTTGAATTAGGAAGCATGTGAAGCGAGGAATAAGTGGGACATCCATGCTGCTGTTCAGATCTGGCAGGAGGACTTGGTTTGGATGACCTTGGAGCCAGAGGTTAAACAGTGGTCCCGGGTCCCCAGCCTCCTGACTGTGACTCAGTTTCCCAGGCAGGCCAGTCTAGGGAGCTGTCCTAAGAGTCCTTCCAGAGGTCCCACCTTCAGCTGCTCCTGCATGTACTGAGTATAATTTCCCTGTGTTCGATCCCTATCTCCTTCAATGCCTAGTGTGGTGTCTGTTATCTACAAATTCAATCCTACTCCCTGATTAAATTTCCTTGGGATGGGGTTTGCAGAACTGGATGTCACCATCCTCCCTTCCTGAACTAATACCAGAGCCTCCATGCATTAACTCTGGCCTTCCTCTAATCCATTCCCTGCAGAACAATGAAAATAGTCCTCTAATTAGGCACGTTAACATTTCATCAACAGTTCTAACAAGATCATAAAATCGTTAAAGTCTCAGCCCCATTTCATAATCATAGGCTTGCTTTCTTTGCCATTGTTCGAAGACCAGACATGTCTATGGTGATGCCACATGAGGCTTGTGAGCCAAGTCTGACTGCATAGTGAGAAAATTAACCCTAAAGGTGTTCTCATATTTAGTTGCACATGTTCCATTAAAAAAAAATTTAAAAGGCAGAGGTTACAGAAAATCTGGTAGATTTTTCTTTACCCATATATTTTTAAGGATGCGCTAAAGTAAATAAAATTTATGATTTTTTAAAGCAATAATCTAATGGCTTGACTTGCCAGAGTAGAGAAATATTCATCAAGAAAACTAATGAAATTTCTAATGAAGATGGAAAATAAATGGGAGATAAGAAAAACAACCTTATTTTCAGCAATAATGAATACTATGATAAACTAAATTGTAAAAACAGAGAACAAAAGAAAAAGAATATAGAAAAAGAATATAGGTAGTTGAGCATCAATCTATGAATCAGGTGGTCATGGTTTGATTCCTGGTCAGGACACATGCCCGGGTTGTGGGCTCGATCCCCAGTGGGGGGCATGCAGAAGGCAGCTGATCAATGATTCTCTCTCATCGTTGGTGTTTCTATCTTTCTCTCCTTCTTCTTTCCTCTCTGAAATCAATAAAAATATATTTTTTTTAAAAAAGAAATACCATTGGAAAGAAACATTACTTATTCAATTTTGAAGTGGAGCTGGAATTCCTAAGGATAAACACTAAGGTGAAAAAACTACCTAAGGAAATACTGATAGATTTTGTAACAGTTTAACTGTGACTACTTAATTATTATTCACGTTAATTATTTTTAAAATCCATGC